GAGAGGCTCAAATTGTAAAGCACCTGCCTAGCAAGCATGAGGCCCTGAGTTCAAACCCCAGAACCAAAAAAAAAAGTTACAAACTGCATTTTACTCCCTCTCCACTCATCTTCATCAAAGGTATGTTATTTTTTTGAGAGGTGCAGTAGGGGGCTGAGACAGGGTCTCACTATGTAGCCCAGGCTGGCCTAGAACTCACTATGCAGCCCAGGCTGGCTTTAAACTCATGATCCTCCTGCCTCTACCTCCCACTCCCAAGTGTTGGGATTACAGACATGTACCATTATGCCTAAATTCATTATGGGTATGTTATAATCTTATTTATTCCATTCCATTTAAATTAAAATTAAGTTTTCCATTGAGAAGGTACTAGCACTCTAGGACAAGTTTTAAAGGGGGAGTCTCTACAAATTTATTAACACAACGCCAGCATAAATTCCAGTTCTATAAATCTCACTATCCAGAGAGGCTTAAGTTTGAGTAGAGCTTTGCCAGTCTCACCTGACCATCTGGAAGAAGCCAGGACCCTTCAGTTGCCATGGGAGCCAAGGCAGATCTGTGGCCATCAATCATTTAATAAGCACTTTCTGATGCATGTCAAATCATCACACTGTACACCTTAAGTAAATATAATTTTTATTTTTCAATTAAATATTTTAAATAAAAAATAAAGTCTGCTGTGCTTAAATTCCTATTAAAATTTCTAATAAAGCTGGTTTTCACTAAATAAATTACTAATGCAAATTAAGAATAAGACATGAGACTGGACTGAAGGTGTGGCTCAAAAAGCAGAGTGCCTGCTTTGCAAGCATGAATCCCTAAATTCAAATCCCTGTCCCATCAAAAAATAACAACAAAAAGACACAAGACTGATGGAAAAACAATGAGATGCAAACATAATAAAAATAATTCTTGCTTTCAATAAATTCACCATGTGCTGGGCACTACTAAATGACTCACATCTATAATCTTAGCTACTTGGAAACTAAGATCAGGAGGACTGCAGCTTGAAGCCAGTCCAAGCAAATAGTTCTAGAGACCCCATCTTGAAAATAACCGGAGCAAAATGGACTGAAGGTGTGTCTCAAGCGATAGAGCACCTGCTTTGCAAGTGTGAAGTCCTGAGTTCAAACCCCAGTCCCACAATAAATACATACATACATACATACATACATACATACATACATACATACACATACACACATCATCCAAAGACTGATTGGCTCAAATACTATAAAGATATAAAAATGTTACATGATGAATGCTGTAAGTGTGTGCAAAACTCTAAGGGTGCTGTCATTTGTGACAACATAGAACTGAAGATCATTATGCTAAGTGAAATAACCCAGACACAGAAAGAAAATAACCAAGTGATCTCACTCATGTGGAATCTGAAAAAAAAAAAAGATGACCTAATAGAAGTAGGGAGCAGAATGGTGGTTACCAGAGGCTCAGGCGAATATAGGAGAGGGAGAAATCAAGGTGGATAATGCTACTAGGTTGTAGTTAATAGGAGCAAGAAGTTCCTTTTCAGGCATTATCTATAATCACCCTATTGCACAACAGGATGACTATAGGTAATGATCATGTACTGCATACTTCAAAAAGCTACAAGAAAAGATTTTGAAAATTTTTGCCACAAAGAAATGATAAATGTTTGAAGATGCACGTTTTACCTGATTTAAACATTATACAATATATGTGTATGTATTGAAGCATTACATATTAGCCCTCTAATATGTATAATTTTTATGTACCAGTTAAAAACAAATTTAATTCTTAAAAATGGAAAACCTAAGGAATACAGAAGAGGATCTATCTTTAGACAGAAGGAAAAACTTCATAGAAGAGACAATATCTTAACTGGATAATCAAGGAAAAACAGGAGTTTGTGAGTGGAAAGGGGAAGAAGGGCCTTCTAGCAAAAGCTACTTTGTGCACAATAGCATCAGATAAGACTAGTAGAAGCAGCAGAGGCCAAACCTGGCAAGATATGAATATCATGCTAAGAAACTTGGGAGGCGGAGGCCAGAGGCCATAGACCAGTTTTCAGGTACTGGTAGTTGTAATCCACTGAAACCAATTTAGTGGGTGACATCTTTAATTTCTGCTTAAAATGAATTCAAATAGAATAGGACATGTCAGAAATTATCTGACATTATAAAGACAAGTTTTATAAAACTTTTCTATCAGATACTTGTGTGCATACAAGGTAACAAAGTAAAATGTTACTATGGCTCAGGGTCAAAAAGTTTGAGTTAGATGACTCATGATTGACCAATTAGGTGAAGGGAATGAGGGAAAAGTTAAGGAGAATTCCCAAGTTTCTGGTATGGGCACCTGAATGGATTCACAATGCCACTAACTAAGGTAAAGAAAAGAAGAGGAGGGTTGCTTTTATCAAGTCCATGTGGGGATGCTGGATAAATCAAACAGCAGCCTCTCTCTCAGCATTTTTTTCAGCAGTCAGAGTCAATAATAATATTGTACAGCAAAGACAATGAATGCATAGTCACCGCAGCTACAACCTCACATGAATAACGAATAAGGGTCTTGTGGGAACTAGAGGGGAACCCAGTCCTAAAACCCAACCCACAGAAAAACTGTAGAACCAGAAGAGACAGGCAGGACAAGTGAAACATCAATACTTCCTCCAGGGAACTAACAGGATGTGAGAAATTCTGTCCCTATTTTAAGTACCACCACCCTTGGGAACCCAAGGAGACCTGTCGCAGACACTTCAGACAACTGGCTGCCTTCAAATACATGTACATGGGCATGTACTGCACATGTACTGTCTTTTGCTCCTAATATTCTCTAATGTAAAATGTCCTCCCTTTCTCTGACAGGAATTCTATTTGCCCTTCACAGTGTAACTCAAATGTTACCTCTACCACAGAACCACTCTTTATCCAACTCCCTCACCCGCTGCCACCAAATTTGGATTAAGTTGTACCTCATTGGGCTTCCACAGCAACTGCTTGTGCCTTGGGCTTAGCATTTTATTACATTCCATTAAAAGCAAGTGTTCTTTATGACTATTTTCTACTAAAGTTTCTTGAAGGTCTAGACCATGTCATAGCCTTCTCTCCAAAACTCCAAGGTCCTGAACACACAGTAGGGTTCTCAAAGTAAGAGTTTGCTCATTCTGGTAAAAATAAATAAATAAAAAAGCTACTGATTCATTCCACCCAAACCTGGAGATCATCAGAACTAAGGGTAAGGAAGAAGGTGGAGGGGAGACTAAGCATAGATTGAAGCAGACAGTCTTCCTCCCCTATTTAACTGGTGGTGGTATACCCTACTCCTCTGAGAAATTTAACCAACCTCAGCAAAGAAAGTTCAGTAAGCACAGTTCAGAAACTTTAAAGAACTACAAGTAGTTTCAAGGCTTTCCCACTTGCTATTAGTCAGGTATTGACCTTGGGATGTGGTCATAGGGATTATATACTTTATTTTGCCATCCACTCCCTCTACCACTTTGATACCTCTAGCTTTAAGGGTAATAAAGAGTCTTTCATACAGGCTCTGAATATTATCTTTGAACTCCTCTGGGAACAGCTTAGCCTTCTCTCAACCCTCCCACCTTTCCAGTGAATAATTCTACCCTGCTACCTCTGAAGTCTTCAGTTCTTTTTTTTTTTTTTTTTTGGTGGAGGAAGCAGTATTGGGGTTTGAACACAGGACTTCATGTTTGCTAGGCAGGTGCTCTATCACCTGAGCACTCCACCAGTCCAATTCTCAGTTCTTAAAAAAAGTAGTTTTCCCCTCAATATACCCAGGTTTCCTCCCTGAAATCTCTCCCTAACCTTCACCATGAAGACCAAAGGAAGGCAGTACATCTTGAACTGCCTGACTAAAAGTCATGGCATATTTCAGAGAGCTAATAGAAAGTGTTCTGATAGCTGCAACTTCTTATCTGATCCTATAAAGACTACCTGCATTGTATTATAGAACTTTGCCATTCTAGTTTATAAATGACCATTTTATGCAGCTTATCTCCCTTTAAAGTTTGATTGTGAGCTTCTTGAGAACTATCCCTAGATCCCAGCAAAGTGCTCAGGACATAGTGTGCACTCAATAAATACTGACTTAGGAAAAAAAATAAAATAAACTGCCACTTCAGGCTCCTTAGCCAACTCAGTGACGATGTGAGTTCAGAAGAAGAAACATTTCAGAGGTGATCAAAACCAAAGTCTTTATATAGCAGTCAGAACTGTGATGCAAGTCAGCTGAAGGCAATCTCAAACAAGGATCCTTTTTACAAGGTGGCCATTCCCCACGTTCCTCAGATGCTCACTATGGTCAAAGTAGTACACCTACTCCTCCAGAATTTACTTTCCCAAGATCTGGCAGTTAAAAAATACATTCCCCAACCCCCTCTTCAACTATTCCTATATCCCTCTGACCTTTAATACTGTGTAACAGTAGATGAAAAATTGATTTTTCTTGGCTACTTATTTCACAGCTGAAGAAAAAATATACTGTTTAAGGTGTTAAATATTTTTACATGCAACAAACCTAGCATGACCCTAACCTGTATGCACATTTTAGAGGTACAGGCGTAAATGTCAGTGCTATAATTTGTTATAGGTTTCTGATGACCAGCAATGAAAATGACCACGGATTCTCACAATTCAAACCACTTTTACGTAAATGTGAACTTTCCTAAAACAGCCAAGGGACGGAACTTTCCATCCAAACTCAGAGTCTCTTAGAGATACTGATAGCATTGTTCACTGGGTTAGGTGTTCTTTGAAAAAAATCTAACTAATATTAATTTCTTTCCAGGCCTATGTTTTGACCTTTAATAAAAATGTGCTCCAAAAATAAAGAAAAAGAAAAAAAAGTGCTTCAAGACAGCAGTTATTAAAATGAAAGGAATAGTCTTCCATGCCTAAACAACTATTTCATTTAGTCAGCCCTACAGAAGGCAATATTTTATAAATCAAAGTGTTAAATGCACACATTTGGTAACTTCACATAGATTGCTCACTTACCAGACATGAAGCAGGGTTATAAGAAACCATGAATTGAATGTATCAGGCATCTGACACCCTAGAAAATAACAATAAAGTATAAATATGTGAAAGTTTAAAAGAGGCATATTGACTATTTTAAATACTGCTGGGAATTTATTCAACAAAAATATATGGCAGTATAGTGCTTTCTGGTTATGGTGTCATACAGAAGAGCGGGGGCACCTCAAGACCACGGGTTGGAAGAACATTGAATACAGACAGATAACCTTGCTGTATGGCCTTGCACAAATCACTTCTTCCATCTGAGTCTCAGTTTTTTTATTTTGCTTAATGTGGCCTACAAGATTTCTAGGGTTCCTTCCGAGTTCCATGTGATTTTTCTCTTACTAGGCTTAAATTCTGAGAAACTAAGCAAACAACATCTCACCTACTCTACTTACAGACTAGCTTTTCTTACTTGAGCCTTCTCCTATCTTCTTTCTTTGAGATGACCCAATGTGGTATGGTCATGGGTATGCTGAATAATTTACAAAAATGACCAGGAGGAAAAAAAAAAAGTGGGGTTCTTGGACACTACAGATGAGTAAGAAAGCAGACAATCTCATGAAAGGCCATTCATTACTATCAGGAATGACAAAACTGGGCAGGGCTTCTTGGTTTCAGATACCACAGATCATGCCTGTGCTCAGACATCCAAGCCTCTCAATTCTCAAATTTCTAAGAAATGCCTCTGGCTGAATTAGGCTTCTCCCATTGAATGTGCCCTCCTTAGTATATAACAGGGAGAAAAGCTAGAATAAGAGGATAAAAGGAAAAGCAAAATCAGTGGGAAATTTGGACCTTTATGGTAGAATCTGTGCTTTGGAGCAATAACTCAAGAAAGAAGTAAAGGCTGAGTATGGTGGTATATACCTATAATCCAAGAACTTGAGAGGTTGAGGCAGAAAGATCAGGAGTTTGAGGCCAAGCCATGGCTAAACAGTGAATTCCAGACCAGTCTAGGCTACCTACTGAGACCCTGCTTCAAACAAAACAAAACAAAACAGAAGTTGTATCCTCTGCTTTTCAGCAGTGAGGTACACACAATTACCAAATGATAACAAATAGGGGTCACTAGGAGATAATACCCTGTGGGGTATATTAACACTACCAACACTAATAAGGAACTGTAATTCATTGTGGGCTTACAATGTGCCAAACATTATAATAGGTGTTTCACATGCATTAGCTCAACGAATTCTCCTTATGAGTTGGGTACTGATATTATCCCCATTTGACAGGTGAGAAACTGTTAGAGGGATCAAGACCATCACCCAAGGTCATAGAATCATGAAATAAGACACCTAGGGTCAAAATCAGATTTTCTTCACTCTAGATACCGTCTTCTTAATTGTGACTTCAATTGCTTCTCTAATACTAAGAATGGAAACACTTGAAGGGCTCATACTACAAGCCAGGTCCACTACCAATCAGGTTAATATATTATCTCACTTAATCCTCACTCTAATGCTAGGGAGAAGCATTATAATCCTATTTTAGCGATAAGGAAACAGGCTCAAAAAGGCTAAGTAACTTGCAGGCAGCCATAATGTCAACAAGCTAGTGGCAGGGCTGGGGTTTGAATCCAGGTCTGTAACAAAATGACACCAAAATATTTTGCTGAGCCTACTGGGAGGCACCCAGCAGCTGTTAAGTGGACTTCCTCTCTGAGCTCAGCAGGAGGGAGTTCAAGGTTGGCCTGGCCAGGCAAGCAACAAGATGCATGCCATCTGAGAGTGGGCCAACCACCCTCCACCTAGAACGAGAATAGCCCTGAGAAACTCTCAAGTCCAGATCTGAAGTTGGGTCTTTTTTTGGATTCGAGAACAAAACATTAAAAATAAGTTTTCTTGGAAGTCTGTCTTTCAATCTGGAAAATGAAATTTGGCTGCTTCTAAAGGACAATCTGTTCAACTGCTACCTCTACATCAAAGCTTCCCAGCAGCCTCCAGGAGCCTGTCCAATTTCCTCAGAGAGGGAATCAGTTCTTGGGCTGGAAAGCACAGACAGACAGACAGGCCAGCAGCTGGACCTGGGTCACAACTTTCCCTTCTGAGGGTCAGTTCAGGGCTGAGGATGAGAAAAGAACTGGCATATAAATGAGTACCCACTGGGTTCAGAACAGAAGCCTAAAAAAATAACATCAATGATTATTGACTGTAAGCAACACAAAAATACAACAGATTTTTTTGCTGAATGAAAAGTATTTACATACTTCAAAGTTAAAACCTACTGAAGTCCTTTGTTATGAACACATTTCTTGCTCCAGTACACATTCCGTGCATTATTTTCTGAGACTAGGTACTTTCTCAACACCAATTTTGATAAAAAATTGAACAATTCATTACTGTCCTGGGAAGCTTACATGAATACATTTTACTGCCTCATTGAAAATCTTGATTCTACCCCAACTTGCTACACATCCTTCCTTACCTTATACAGTTTAAGTAGGATTAAATGAGATAAGGCCTATAAAGTGCTTAGCAAAATAGTTACCATTTAACAAGTATTTGATAAATATTCTGTATCAGTTTTCAGTAACTAGAGTTCAAATTATCTTTGAAAAATTTTCACAGATTATTTAAGATTGTATCATGTTACTGAGGTGAGCCTCAACCTCTGACTCAGAACATTGTCATTACAGACCTATTCCTCAAGGTAATAAGTCTCTCAGGGGCTAAAGAAAAAAACAGTCTGCACATAACAGTATGGAATTAAACACAAGCTTCACTGACTGGCACCTGTGTTCCAAAGTGCTTTTCATAGTAGAAGTGATCTCCAAAAGACCAGTCAGCAAACTGTTGTGAACACAGAAGGCAGGCTCATTTATGATAGACAAGGGTCATCATCAGGGCATCTAGAAACAAGGGTTGGGGGCATAGTGCAAGTGGTAGAGCACTTACCTAGCAAATACAAAGCCCTGAGTTCAAGCCCTATCAAAAAACAAAGCACAACCCCAGCCATGCTGGGTGCTCATGCCTACCATTCTAGCTACTTGGGAGGTGAAGATCAGGAAGATCGTGTTTCAAAGCCAACCACAAAAAAAGTTAGCGAGACCCTATCTCAATCAATAAGCTAGGGATGGTGGTATACCTGCTCTCCCAGCTACATAAATAGGAGGATCGTGGTTCAGGTGGCCAGAGCATAAATGTGAGACCCTATTTGAAAAATAAAAAGCAAAAAGGAACTGGGTGCCAGTGGCTCATACCTATAATCCTAAATACTTAGGAGGCAGAGATCAGGAGGATCAAGATTCAAAACCAGCCAGGTCAAATAGTTCAAGAGATCCTATCTCAAAAAATCCATCAAAAAATAGGGCTGGTAGTGAAAGAGAGAGAGGGAGAGACAGACAGACAGACAGACAGAAACATTTGCTACTAAAATATTTTACCACTCAGAATCCCCAATATGTAGCTCTCTGGATTTAAACTTTTGAACACTTTGGCTCTGAAATGGCAGTCTGTAATTTTTGCATTTTATAAATCAACAAAAAGGTTGACAGGCACAACATATTGTGAGTATACAACTCACTCATATACCATCTAGAAGAAATGGCACCAACCAGGCATTGCTGGCTCACGCCTATAATCCTAGCTACTAAGGAAGCAAAGATCAGGAAGATCATGGCAAATAGTCTGTGAGACTGTGTCTCATAAATATGCAACACACATGAAAAAAAAGTGCTGGCAGAGTTGCTGAAGTGGTAGAGCACTGCCTAGCAAGTGTGAGGCCGAGTTCAAACCCCAGTACCACCAAAAAAAGGAGGGAAGTAAGAAGGGGAGGGAGGGAAGGAGGGAAGGAGAGAGGGAGGGAGCGAGAGAGAGAAATGGCACCAGTCTCACGTTTGCTGGGGAAGGATTATACTGGCCAGCTACCTGAGGCTCTGTCAAGCCCTATGCCATAAACATGAAATAGATACTGAGATATATTTTCTCTTATTCCAAGGGTGTCAGACCTACTCTTTAGAATCCAAGCCACACAAAAATCAGCATCATTATTTTATAGTTTTTTTAAAAATATTTTGCCTCCAGATAGTACTTTCTAAATCTGCTCCCTTTTTTAAGTCACTAGTTATACTCTGGAACCACTCTGGTTTTAAAACTACCCACAAGTGAGAAAGATATATAATAATGAAGCACAATATACTACAACATGCTATTGGACGTTTTATATCATTCTTTCATTAAAATTTAGAAAATCTGAAGTAAGAGTGGTGTCACTGAAAAACTGATTGCCACCTTAGGTGACTCCACTGAAAAACAAAGCTATGACAAAACTCACTGGTATGTACACACCATAAGTATGTAGAAGTATCAGTTTACAATACTAACATAACATCTCAAAGAGGTAGTTCTCATTTAAATGTAATATAGCACAAAAATAATAAGACAGATCATAATTTCTAATTTACAGTTATACTCCTTCATAGGTAATATGCTACAGTGGGAAACTCCCAGGATTTTAAGCCAGACAACACAGGTGCAAGGCTTGGCTAAGTAATCTTGGGCAAGTCACTTAGCCTCTTTAAGCCTCAACTGTTTCTGAAAACAAAACAAAAATAAACAAGCCCTTCCTATCCCTCAAGATTTTTTAACCCATAAAAGAGATAAGTATAAAAGCATACTATATAACTGTGAGCTATTAGTACTTAGTAATTATAATGTTCATAAACTTTTCTTAAGTTTCTAGCTTATAACAGGCTATAAATGAAAACATGATATATTAATTCAAATATGTAATAAGTCTTCTTTGGTACTTTAATATTAACTCAAAAACATTTAAAAGTGAGGAATTAACTAAGACAAACATATCTAGTAAACATTGTTTCAAAATAATTATAATAAATCCCTGAGCTATTTATTGAATGGGTTATTATATAGAAATTTGAAGGTAAGGCTTTTATTAAAAAGATCTGATGGAATATACTAAAGCACATGAATTCAAGAAACCACTTCAAACACACACACACACACACACACACACACACACACACACACACACACACACACACACACACACACACACACACACACACACACACACAGCTTTTAGGAAGCCCTAAACATACCCGAAAGCAAAAAAGCAAACAAAAAAGCTTTTAGGGCTGGAGGTGTGGCTTCAAGCAATAGAGCACCTGTCTAGCAAACTCCGGGCCCTGAGTCAACCCTTGATACTCCCAAAAATAAAAATAAACAGCTTTTAATATTAGTAATTTCTTCATCATGTAGAGAAAGTATATTTTCTCCTTTTGGATTAATTTCTCCTTAAATATGAAATTATTAGAGTTTACAAAGCAGCAGGAACATTTTCTTTCCTGGTTATGAACAAATAAGAAATGGAAAGTAGACAATAAATTGAAATTACAACTCCATATGGGATTTTCTAGTATCAATATCAAATTTCTAATATCAAAATAACAAAACATCTTTACTGATTTTTAAAAACTAAAAGTTATTAAATAACCAAAGCTAAATCTAGCTTTTTTCATTGTTAACATAATTATGTAAAAATATTTGTTATAAGACAACAATAACTGTATAAACTTGTTAGATGTCTGCTTCTTTGAGGATATGGTTATTTTACATGGAAGTACATGGCATACATTTCTTTCTAAACTCTGTGGAGTTGGAAATGGTTTAAATTCTCTCAAAGACTTTATAAATTCCTGCTTTAATTAATTTGTTAATAACTCCAAAAGTTCACAGCATCTATCAACATGAATATTGCATTCATATATTCAACTGCTAGTGGTGGTCTAAACCAGTAAAACCCTTTTGAAAAGCAATTTATCAATGGGGTATAAATAATAAAATTATATGAGCTTTTTGAATCAATAGGCCTTTCATTAGTAGAAACAAGAAAAAAAACAAAGGAGGAGTGCTGGTGGAGTGGCTGAAGTGGCCCTGAGTTCAAGCCCCAGTATCACTCAAAAAAAAAAAAAAAGCCAAGAAAAGAAGCAAAGGAGGAATGACTGGCAAAGTAAAACATCCCAAATGTGGACTGGAGACACAGCTTAAGTATAGAGCAGCAGTATAGCAAGCAAAAGGCCCTGAGTTTAAACTCTAGCAGTTAAAAAAAAAAAAAAAAAAAAAAACCAAATGTAAAAGAGGTTATGTTTACTAAAATGCATGTGTGTACAAGGTAGATGATAATGTCAAAGTATAAATTTGCAGGATTTTTTTCAAATTCGTTAAATGATTTATTTGTAAGATTTTTTGTTTTTCCTACTAAAAGAGAAAAATAGCTGTATTACATACTTGTGCAGAAAAAAATTTTTACGAGTGACTTTTTAAAAAGTCTACCTATTAAAACACAACCATAAATATAAAAAGTAGATTAATTTTCCTTTTCAGAACTATCAAAGAGTAACTTACTTAGAAAGAATTCTTCGAAGTCAGTTTTCTCCACACAGCTAGTATACATGCGCAGGGCTGCAATCTTAATCTTCTAGATAAAGAGAATAAAACCAAACTCAAGACATGACCAAGTGGATGTTCTAGGATCATTAGACATGGGTCATTGAATCTTAACACTTCTTCAGCTAGGAGTAAGGGTCCAAACCTGTCTCTAGGATGTTTTTGTTCTTTCCTAAATCTACTCATTCATACAGACTTCACACGAAGTCCACCTTTAGGATTTCAGCAGGAAAAGGTCAAAGAAATATTTCCAATACTTAAATGAAATCTCTCTTTTAATTCCAACTCACTTCACCACCTGTGAGTTTGTAAACCACTGTTCCCACTATTTATTCTTTATATTCTGAAATCCTTTATATTAAAAATTACCAACCCTGGGGTGTATGTAGCTCAAGTGGTAGAGCACCTGTCTAGCAAGAATGAAGCCCTGAGTTCAAACCCCAGTACCACTTAAAAAAAATTACCCACTATTCTCATCAAAATTATACTAACAAAAACCTTCAAACCTTTAACCTTTCAAGAGGCTCTACTAACTAATGCATAAATCTTTTGGGGAGCAGGGAACACATTTCTTTTTTTGTATGCTATGTTTTTTTTTTTTTTTTTGGCAGCACTGGTGTTTGAACTCATGGCCTCACACTTGCTAAGCAGGCGCTCTTACCACCTGAGCCACTCTATCAGCCCTTTTTTGTGATGGTTTTTTTTCTGAGATGGGGACTCATGTTTTTTTGCCTGGGACTGGCATCAAACCATGATCCTCCTGATCTCTGCTTCCTGAATAGCTAGGATTACAGACATGAGCCACAAGCACCTAGCTGTCTTTGTTTTAATAGTTGGCAGATTAACAGAATACTGTGTATAATGAATATAAAATATTGTAACAAAGCAAATGTAGTGGTACACACCTGTAATTCCAGCATTCAGGAGGCTAAGGTGGGAGGATCAAGTGTTTGAAACCAGCCTGGCCTACATAGTGAGACCCTGACTCAAAAAATAAAAGCAAAACAGTAGCAGGATCAACCTTTTTACTATTCCCCAAAGCACTAAGAATTCTCTTAGGCTCTTGATATGAGTGGTAGTTTTAATTTATTCACTAAACTGCATACTTAAGATTTGTATCAGTTACTATACATAATTTGTTTTAATAAGTCTAAAAATTAAAAAAATATTCTTTAACAGAAGAACTGTAAATCTGAAAACCAAGTTATTGCCACAGGAACAGGTATTTCAAGGACTTCCAAAATATTTCATTAAGGATATAACTTAAATTAGAACATTAACAAAAGACTTGCAGAAGTTTATTTCACCTTCCTTCTCCCTTCCTCCTTCCCTTCCTCCCATCTTTCTCTCTCTTTTTTTTATGGTGGTCCTGGGGTTTGAACTCAACAAATGTGCACAGATCGCAACTGAAAGGGAACAATGTAGCTTACTTTTTATTGTTGTTGTTGTTGCTGTTTTGCAGTACTGGGGTTGGAACGCAGGGCCTTGTGCTTGCTTGGCAGGCACTCTACCACTTGAACTGTGCACCCAGCCCAGTGATGCTATGTTACCAAGGGTAAAAGTCACTAAGGATAAACCATACCCAATACTATACAATGTTTACATCTCTAGAGTCAAAACAATAGTGCCTCTGATGGGCAGAAATACCCACAATAAATTTAGGAAGGATTATGTCTCTGATTGTAATTAAAACTTGTTAATTTATCTGTCATATCTCTCCAAAGCTTTTAATTTAAAATTCACACAGGAGAAAACAGAAAGGAAAATCAGATATCCCTATCTGGGGAGTACATCAGCATTTTGAAGCTCACCTTTAAACAAAATCCCTGGCAAAACTCTAGAAAAGAAGAACAAGTTAAACCTAAAAAGCAGGAAAAATATAAGGAGCAGAAATCAATGATATTTAAGAGAAAAATAATATAGCAAACCAAGAAAGTTAAAGGTGGTTCTTTAAAAATAAATTTAAAATTTTTTTAAAATCAATTAATTGGCTAGACTGACAAAGAGAAACAAAACAAAACAAAAAAGGATCTAAATTATCAATTTTAAGAATCAGGGCATCACTACATATTCTAAAGACACTAACAGAATAAGGAAATATTATGAACAACTTTAACCAATGAATGTGATTGTGTAGATGAAATTTGAAACTCTTTGAGAGACACAAACTAACAAAGCTCACTAGGATAGAAAAATAACATGAATATTCCTATATATATTAAACAAATTGGATTTGTGGTAAAAACCTTCCCACAAAGTAAACTGCAAATCCAGATGGCATCACTGGAGAATTCCACCAAACATTTAAAGAAATAATATCAAATCTACACAAACTCTTCCAGAAAACAAGAGGACAAAACACTCTACAACTCAATTCTTTGGTCAACGTTATCCTGACTCAAAACTAAAATCATTAGAAGAAAGCAAAACTTTAGAGCCATAGCCTTCATGAAACATAGGTGCAAATTTTCTTAATAAAATGTAAACAAATAGAATCCACCAATATTTAAGAATAATATACCATGATCAAATTTATCAAGAAATGCAAAGCTGATTCAACAATGGTAAATAAATCAGCATAAAATTAATCCTATCAATGATACAAAAGAGGAGGAAGAAAAAGCAGCAGCCTATTTAATTTTGTCAACAACTATAGTTCTTGGAAGTACTTAACCACAGACACATTTCAGGAAGCAATGATCTGTACTATCACACACTTATTGATATTATCCTAATGCTTTGGCCATGGCAAGCCTATTCCTATCCTTAAAAGAAGAAATTTAGAAAATCTCTCAGCTATTCACTGCAGTCAGCAAATAATTTACATAGCCAGACACCAGTGGCTCATGCCTATAATCCTACCTACTTGGGAGGCTAAGATCAGGAGGATCACAGTTCAAGGCCAGTATGGGCAAACAGTTGGTGAGACCCCCATCTCCAAAATAACCAGAGCAAAATGGGCTGGAGGTATGGCTCAAGTGGCAGAGTGCCTGCTTTTGCAAGCACAAAGCCCTGAGTTCAACACGACTCCCCTCTACCCAAGTCCTACTAGGGGAGAAAAATTTACTGAGTACAAAACTCAGTGCCTGGTCTGAATGCTGAGAATAGAAAGGTAAACAAAACAGATAAAAGTTCATGCCCTCACAGGGCTTATGGCCCAGTCCAACTATAGGCAAATTTACAAAATTTTTAACTAAAATTCATAATTGCTTATTTCTTGATTTATTTATTTATTTTTAATCCTGCAGTTTCCTTCAGGTTTCTCTACTATGAAATCCCCTAGGGTCACAATTAGTCATCCTGCCCTCAGAAAGATAAGTTTGCCTTTCAGGCCCAACTCTTTACTTGAGAAGGAAGTTTACCCCACAATTATGTTCATGAAAAAGCATTCATTATAAATAATGAAGACTTCCCCAGACTGGCCAGTGTATTTACACAGTGCTTGTACTATGGCAATCAGAGTATTTTATAGTTCTTCACTTTTCCTGCAGCTAAGCCAAGCCTTTATACTTGGGTGAGCCATTTTCCTGGACAAATCTATAAAGCAAGTCCCTGAAGACTATCACACAGGCACTGGAAATAATTACTAGAAAGAACCTCTTAAAGAATCATGCATTAGGGTTGGAAATGTGGCTCAAGCAGTAGAGGCCTGCCTAGCAAGTGTGAAGTCCTGAGTTCAAACCCACCTCAGTAAAAGAATCAGGCATAAGTTAAGGAGGTAGGTGGACTAAGTTTCCACCTAGTCAATACAAGTTGTTCTGGTCCTTGGATGACTTCCTATTTATTTCACTTTAACTTTACAAAGACTTCACCAGACCACTTGACTAAAACAGAAGCACCTGGAACTGCTCTCCTACCAACTGATGCATTCTGTCCCCTCCTACAAGAGAAAACGAATGTAGTAACAGCTGCATGAGAGTTGAAAGGGGCTTTTTTGTCACTTGATCTTTTATTCTGTGCTGGAATTCCTTCTATTCATTCTTGACTCATTATCAACAATCTGGGCCCCTATTCAAACAAAATCAGTGACTTTGTAAGGCTACCTATTCTGCTGGAGGACAATTTTTTTTTTCCTTTTTCTTTTATTATTCATATGTGCATACAAGGCTTGGGTCATTTCTCCCCCCTGCCCCCACCCCCTCCCTCTCCACCCCCCCAATACCCAGCAGAAACTATTTTGCCCTTATTTCTAATTTTGTTGTAGAGAGAGTATATGGAGGACAATTTTTGTTAGATTTCTGTTTAATTGAACTAAAATCTACTTCATGTAACATTTATTAAACATTATTCTGCACACTGGAGTACCTCAGATTAAGTCCCTTCATTTTTCTTCTCCCACCCTCACCACTCAAATACTGAGCCATTATGCCTTCTCTTTCCCAAGTATTCTTACTTCCTTCAACCATTCTTCATTCATCAATTTCTGAAACTTTCACAATGTTCACTGCCCACTTCTGAATACACTCCAGTTATCAGTGTCCTTCAGAACAGGTAAATTTTTATTTTAATGCTAATACAGAAATTACTAATTTTACAGCATATGGCAACAAAGGCTGTCCTTTTCTTACATGGTATTACTATACAAACAATGGGAAAAAAGGTTATTTTTTTTTTTCATTTTTCTTTTATTATTCATATGTGCATACAAGGCTTGGTTTATTTCTCCCCCCTGCCCCCACCCCCTCCCTAAAAAAGGTTATTTTAGAATACTCAACTAGATAGGGAAAGGTTACACATTTAAAATCCTAAATATATCACTGAGCATGGTGGTACACACTTGTAATACCAGCTCTTGGAAGGCTGAGAAAGGAAGATCAAGAGTTCCAGCTAAACCTGGGCTACACAGGGAGTTTGAGGCCAGTCTGGACTACATAACAAAAGCTTGTCTCAAAAAGATAAAAAACATCCAGGCACTGGTGGCTCATGCCTGTAATCCTAGCTACTCAGGAGACAAGAGATCAGGAAGATCGTGGTTCGAAGCCAGCCCAGGCAAATAGTTCAAGAGACCCTATCTCGAAAAATCCTTCACAAAAATAGGGCTGGTGTTGTGGTTCAAGGTGAAGGCCCTGAGTTCAAGCCCCAGTACCACAAAAAAAAAAAAGACAACAAAAAAACTTAAATATGATTCTATAAGAAAAATGAGTACTACACATGAAAATATTAAAGAAAAATACAGAGAAAAGATAGTTGATACTGTTGACATGACAAGGCAAACAGTACTTTTACTCCCTAAACAATACATTTCATATGAAATGTAAAATATAAAACAAAGAACTTGAAAAAGGCGATCCAACTGTCAACATTGCTGAAAAGGGATTTTTTTTTTAATGTATGTATGTATCATATTTATTTATTTATTTATTTGGGGGAGACACTGAGAATAACTGGGCTGAGATAGGGGCACCCGAGCTTTGCAAGTCAGTGATCACGAGTGGGAGAAGGGGGGCAAAGGGGCGGGGATTTGGTGAGAGGGGAAGGAAAAGACTTTGAGGACACCAACCAAGGTACTGTGCGTGGCAGCCTCCCTCCCCATCTGTATGCTTGTAGTAATCTGGCGCTTTGGAGACTCCAGCGGGCTGCTAGTCCCCATACCTTTCTACAGAGTATCCTGAAAAGGGAGCTTAATCTTTGAAAATGGAAAGTTATACCTACATTTTCCCACCAAAATCATTCTAGAGTGTCATACTTTAATATTTTGGTATCACCAATTTTAAAATGAAGGCTATAGAAAGTAGACAATGTCACATCACAAAAGATTTTTTTTTTAATGCAAACACTAGGGATTTAGTTGATGTCACAAATGGAACAAAGAAAAATCAGAGGCTAAGTTAAGTGAGTGAAGGAATTTTTCTGGTGATTTAATAATCCTTCAAATGGTAGCCAATTTTCCCTCTGGAATCATTTAAAAAAAAAAAGAAAAAACCCCAAATACACAAAGCATATGGTGGCAACTAAGTGGAACCCAATCACTGAGAAATAAATAAATCAATACATTTTTCTCTTTCTGCTTTCCTCTCCCACAAACATACTTAAAATTGTTAAATACAAATGCTATAATCACAATTTTTTCTTCCCCTTGTTTTAATAAGGTGGAAATTCTGGTTAATAACATTTCCAAATACATCTACAACATTTCCATTTGCCAACTGTCAAAGAATTAAGATATAAAAAATATGTAATTTTAACAAACATAACTAATATTTCCTTGATGATTCAGATGGCAATTCATAACCTTCGGGTCTCAAGAATATCATTATCACTTAGTATTTGTGTTCTCTCTATAAATTACAAAGCCCTTTATGAACAAAATGCTTGTGGGATCACTGTTGACTTTTCAGAATTCATGTAAAAGGAAGAGTAAAAATGGAGGTCTGTATTTACTGCCATGAGAATTATTAGTAAAAGAAGAAACCAAAAGTAGAGTTAGATGTAGAAATTCTAACTTGAGTCAACTTATTAAAATGGTTTAAGAGATGTTACTTTGTTGTTCTGAGCAAAGTTAATATATTTTCTAGAAAAAATCTTTTCTACTACTTTGCATTAGTTTGTTTTGTTTTATAACTTAAGAATTATTAAGCTTCTCCAATATTCTAGCAACCCTGAAAGGCATTAAAAGACATTCTGTCTAATGATAGAGAATGGTAGTAACAGGTGAAAACTGGTCTAAGAAGAACTGGCTGAGAGAACATTCATTCATTTACCCCTACTATATAACAAATGACGTGCTAGGTAACTAGGAGTGATACAGCTAGGAAATATCCCTCCATAAGAATTACAGTAGGGCTGGCGGAGTGGCTCAAGTGGTAGAGCACCTGCCTAGAAAGTGTGAGGCCGAGTTCAAACCCCAGTACCGCAAAATAATAATAATAATAATAATTACAGTAAGCCACCAGATCAATTTTAATAAAAATATGCTGATGTATAAAATTTTAAACAAAGTCACAATAACCAAGTGAAAAGCATGTATGAAAATGGATTCATCACAGTAATGTTTCCTAAAGAATGTGACCCATCAGGATCATGATTCAAAGACAACCTGGGCAAAAAAATTAGCGAGACCCCATTTCAACCAACAAGCCAGGTGTGGTGGCTCACACCCGTGATCCTAATACGGGAGGCTGCAGAGAAGAGATCAGGATAACATCTGAGGCCAGCCATAAGCAAAAACACTAGACCCCACTTGAAAAATAATTAAGGCAAGCTGGGCATGGTGGCTCACACCTGTATTCCCAGCTACTTAAGAGGAAGAGATGGAGAGGATTGCAGTTCAGTTGCAAAACCCCATCTCTATGAATAAAAGCTAGCCGTGATGATGTGCACCTATCGTCCCAGCTACACGGGAAGAGTAAGTAGGAGGACAGAGATTAATGCCAGCTCAGGCATGCATACAGGACCCTTTTTAAAAAATTACAAAAACAAAAATGGGCTGGGATTGAGGCTCAAGTGGTACAGTACCTTCTTAGCAAGTACAAGGCCCTGAGTCAAACCCCAGTACTGCCCCCTCCTCAAAAAAATGCTACCCATCAGAACATCTGGCCAATCTGATCCTTTAGAACTCAACTGCATGGCACACTATGAAGCAGAGCCTGAAAAAATCCAGTCTTATTGTCGTGTGTGCTACTGTGAAGTATTTCCAAGGAATTAAGTTGAGTATTTCAACTATATAGATCTGACTTGGAAGTGGAGGTTAGAGAGGTGTGTTTTGAAGAAATTCTTAAAATAATGCATGAATTTCGTAAAAGCAAATCATGAGCTTTAAAAAATAAGCTTTCCAGGAAAAGTAAAAAGAACAATCCCCCAAAGGAAAAATCAGAAGAACATGACTTTACCCATTTACTATATTTCAAAGGTCCTGTGAATCCCATGGCTTCTATTATCTTTGTGAAGGCACCAACTTTCTCCTCAATGGGCTGTGGGGACTCTTTGGTACTATGAAGCTATTTAAACAAAGAGAAAGAAACAAAAATTAGTTGCAAAGAAATTTTTTAGCTGGGGTGGCTACTGTGACCTAGCAAGTCTGAGTATCTGACTGAGTTTACTCTCCCAAAAAAATAATTTTTTTAAACATGTCACTTGTGTTCCCTGTTAGATCAGAGGGCATTTTATTGCTTAGATTTTTTTTTTAATCTAGCTTTTTTTTTTTTTTTGGTACAATGCTAAAGATGGAATCCAGGGCCTCACACATGCTAGCAAGCACTCTGCCATTGAGTCACAGCCCCAGCCCTGAAGTAGAATTTTAATTCATTTTTTTAGGCATTGCAAACACATCTGCAATGGCATCTAATAGACATTCTTCAAGTTACAGAGCATGTCATACCTATTTCACTGATCACAGGCCTATCAACCATGTCTAGGAAATAATAAACTTGGAGTATTAGAAGAAAATTTCCAGCAAAAAAGAGTACTAGAGACAAGCATCTGCCTTGCAAGCATGGGGTCTGAGTTCAACCCCAGTACCACCAATACTCCTGATCTCTGCCTCCCAAGTAACTAGGATTAAAAAAAAACTACTCTTTTTTGATAGAACTGGGTTTGAACTCAACAAGAAGTCTACCCACTTGAGCTGTACCCCCAGTAAAAAGAGTACTCTTAAAAGGAAAATCTTGATCACTATCTCTCAAAAAACAATTCTGAGAAAAAAAAAAAACTACATTCTATGTTTATTAGTAGAAAAGGTAGAGGAAAGAAAAATATTGTCTAAAAGCAGACAAAGGTATCCAAACCACAACTGACCAAAGCAAACACTGAATAAATATTTTTAAACTCATTTTAGTACAACAAAATTTATTAAGAAAGATACGAGTTTTGCAATTTGAAAATAAACTCCAAAGGACTGGGAAGGGTGGTGGATGCCTATAATCCCAGCACTCAGGAGGCTGAGGCAGGAGGATCTCAAGTTTGAGGCTAAACATGAGCTACAAAGAGAGACCCTATCCCAGAAAAGTAAAAGAAAAAAGAAAAGAAACTATAAGGAAAACCTGTTCTAATGCTAAGCCTTTACAAAGAAAGTAGGGTAACCAATAAGAAATTTTCTAAAAGTTAAATACTACTTTATTTTTAACTTACACAAAATCTGTAAAGACTATTTTCCTTAAAGTGTCTTCCAGACAAGGAGAACCTTTTGTAAATGTCACAATGTACCCCAAGCATTACAACAATAATCAAAACACTAAAAACAAACAAACAAAAGACATACAGTGGAAGAAACACAGGACGTAAGCTCCAGAGGCTTAGGTTCAAATATTCAGTTGGTTTGTCACTACCATCCTTGTAGCCATTAGTAAGTCACTTTAATTCCCTGGGTCTTGCCTTCTACATTCAATAAATTTTTGTCTCACCTCACTAACAATTTTGTTGAGATCCAATTTTGTTGAGAAGATCTGTCTAAAAGCACCCTATAAAACACAGGAAGCACTTAACAACTCTCACCTTATTTGAATTGTGATACTTCCTACTCTGCAGAATGTTTACTCCAAGAATCTGTTCTGCTCCACCACAGGTTTCAGATTGGCTCATCTGGGGCCACTGGAGGATTAAAAAAACAGAGGTCCTCAACACTGAGTGTTCACTGAGAGAGTTAATCCGGGCAGACCTACTTCAAAGAAAAGACAATAGGATCGATCTAACCTTGCTTAATTCAGTTCCTGGTGATCTGATCACCAAAAGGATCCATGATCAGCACCTAGAATGGTGTCGGGGGTATATTAGGTACTCAAATTACATCGTGAAGAAATATAAGGATTCAGTATTAGAAATATGGAATTAAATCTGAGTCAACTCTAAGAAAACAGAATTGTAGTAAGTATTGAAATACTGTCAGCAGTGCAGTTTATGAGAGAAAAAAAAACCAAAAATATCCATTTTAAGTTTAAAACCTATTTCTGACACCTCCAAGCTCAGTGCCCATAGGTAACTTACTGAACTTCGTTACAGTTAAGATTAAAAAAGATAATTATGTAAAGAGCTTCTCACAAGACAGGTACTCAATAAATAGGAATTTCCATCATCATCATTATTCAGACCACAATTGCCTTCCTTTTATGCTCCACTGCATTTGAAAGTAATGTGGTGATATAACAGCCACTATTTATAATTATTACTATATACCAGGGACTATGCTAAATGTCACACACACACACACCTACATACACTCACATACACACATACTTCTTTCTTCTTTAATCTTCACAACTCTATTAAATTGGTATTTTTATATCCAGAACAATACCCACAGTTTTGAGAATAAATTCCTAAAGAGAAAACTACATGAAAGCGATCTTCATTGTAACATTACACACAACAGTGAAAATAGAGAAAAGTCTAATAAGGAGATAATTAAGTTAAGGTATAATTACTCAACAGAAAATCAGGTAATTACTGATTTTTGCTAGGAGATCACAAATACACATATATGTTTTTAAATACCTAAAGAGACATGGTCTCACTGTGTTGCCTAGACTGGCCTCAAACTCATGATCCTCCTGCCTCAGCCACTGGAGTTGCTGGGATCACCTGTACCACTGCACCTGCAGATTGTTTTTAAATAGGCTTTTTTTGCAGTAGTTTTAGGTTCAGAACAAAACTGAGAAGAAAGTTCAGAGTTCCCATATGCCTCCCCCCTACTCCATATGCATAACCTTCTCATGCCAAAGCAGTAAATTTGTTATAATCAACCTACCTTGACATGTAACTATCACCCAAGTCCATAGTTTACATTAGAGATTATTTTCAATAACATAAAAAATGCTTATAATATGGATAAAATTATAGGCAAAACATGAATGTATACAGGTAAGTTTAGGAAGTAACAAACAGAAATGAAAGGGTTATTTTGCTATGCTGGAATTTTGGATAGCAGGCTGAGGGGAGGGGAAGGAAAAGGAGAGGAGGAAAATGAAAGGAAAGGAAAAGAAAAGAAAATAGAAAAGAGAAAGATGGATAAATTTAGGAATCTAGTTTCTAAATTCTTAGTAATGTTTTATTACCTCAACAATAAAAAAGGGTGGGGAGGGAGCAGGAAGAAGGCTAATCCTTCAATTTTGGTTTATTCCAAGAAGAGATGGGACACATGGAATGAAACTGATTTTCCCCTTGAATCTTAATGAAGGAAAAATAGAACTTCTAATTGTGGAACATTACTATTTGCATTTCTTTCCAAACAAGGATATTAAAAGATTAGTCAGAATTCTTCTGGTCAGTCCCAGGGACACTTATGCTTTCATTCACAAGTATCAAGCAGGCTTTATAAAACACAGACTAAACACAGAACACCTCCCATGACATTACATACATCAATGTAATGTCCATCTAGGGCACAAAGCACTTACACTGGTTCAAAGAACACAACCAAGAGCAATTTTAACAAGCTGTGCTTTTGCTGAGTTCTCTTAGGTTATCTGATCTTTCTCTTCCCAATAGCTCCAAGAATAATCAATGACTCTTTCTATGGCTGTCTCATCACCTGCTCTATTTCTACCCTACCATTATCCATGAGCTAACATTTCACATTATATTGAACTACTGAAGTACCTATGGTAGTACCAAAGACAACATCTAGTTTCCCACACCTATGCTTATGAATAAACACACATTTACTTTTTGTACTACCCACTCTTGCCATTGGTTCCTTCAAAAATATTCATTTGACCCTTAAAGACCTCAATGTTTCATTTGTTTAAATGAAGAGACATCAATAAATAACTTTTTCCAAAGAGAAAAAATAATATGAAATACTCAAATATCACTTCTTCAAAGAGGCCTTCTATAGCTGCTTTTATTTTATTTATTTTTTTTTTGGTGGTATTGGGGTCTGCCCTCACACTTGCTAGGCAGACACTCTACCACTTGAGCCACTCTGTCAGTCCATCTGACCAAACAGGTTCTTTCCATATCATTATTTTCCACCACAGTAGTTAGCATGTTCATGGTACTCATTCTAATGTATAATTATATATTTACTTGCTGATTTTCAATTATCACCAGCAAAAATATACAGATAGTGAGAACTAGGTATGTAACAAGAACCAAGTATAGTGTATTACATATGAGATTCTCAAACATTTGTCAAATGAACAAATCCTACCACCTATGTACTTTTTATTTTTGATTATTTCCTTTCTGTTCTTGTCCATACACACATCATGCAGATATGCTTCACTCACCCAACCTCTATCAAATGTCCAGAATATGCCAGCCTTTGTGCAGGTTTTGGGATATATACAGAATCCCCATCCTCAAGGAGCTCACAATCTTGTGAAGAAAAGAAAAAAGCTTTACCACAAGAAACAGAACCAAGTATCACATTATAAATTGTCACTCACCACAAAAAACAAACAAAACAACAAAACCCAAGTGTTAGGAAGGATGTAGATCAAATAACACCCTCATACATATACACTGCTGGGAAGAGCATAAAATGTTACACTCACTGTAGGAAAATATTTGGTAATACCTACTTAGCTGAATGTATATACAACTTAAAAGACAGAAAAATTCCATTTCTAAGTATATACCCCAGCTGAAGAGAATGCACATGCTCACTAAAACATGAACAAGAATGCTCACAGCAGCACTATTCATGAAAGTTCCAAAATGGAAACAATCTAAATATCAATCGATAGAAGAATGAATTGTGTCATATTTATATAAAACACTATAAGAGAATTAATAAACTATTATTACAAAGAATAATATGGATGACTCTCTAAATCAAAGCTAAATGATAGCAGATGAAACTACATACCGTATATTTAAAAAGCAAACTAATCTATGGTATTCAAAAATAAAGACTGAGGTTAATCTTTACTAGGGGTAGTGATTATAAGGGGATGGGGAGGCTTCTGCTGTTCTGTGTAATGTCCTTTTTGTTAATCTGAATGTTGAGTATGTTTACCTTGTAACAATTCATTGTACACTTATGAGGTGTGCCTTTTTCTATATTTTTATTATACTTCAACAAAATGTACAAAAATACTTAAAGATGTAGAATAGGCAATATAAACAACAGAAATGACTTGGAGAACAATGACCTGGGGTCATGAGGAAATACTTCATAGAAGACAAAATGAGAAGGCAGAGGAGTGGAAGCATAGTGTAGTGGAAAGGGAACAAACACACAGTAAGTGAATTGGGCTAAAGCTCCAGCTCTGCCTGTCTCATAAGTTTGTTTTGTTTTGTTTTGTCAGTGCTAGGGTTTGAACTCTGGGCTTCACACTTGCTAGGCAGGCACTCTACCACTTGAGCCATTCCACCAACCCTATCATAAATAAGATTTGAGAACCAAATAAAATAATGTATGGGAAAGAGATGTGTAAACTACAATGAATATAAACATAAAGACCTGTTCCAGACAAATGACAGTGATAAACCCTTTTGCAGATAGGAATATAAGATTACACCTCTTTTTTTGTTCCCTTCTTTTAAAAGGTTCTGGAAGTGAAAAGGCCTCCTTGATGAGAAGGTGGGGGAGAGAGGAAGGGAGGAAAGGGAACAGGTACAGACACTAACAGTCTTGAAATGCCATGGATATATATGTTACCGCTTAGCAAAACTATAAACTCTACTAGGGCACAGCCCAATTATATTTCTTTTATTTTCTGCCCTAATGCTCAACACCATTCTGGGCATGGAGTCAGTACTCAATAAAAACTAGGTAGTTTTTTTTTTTCTATTTTTTTTCAAAGTGAAGGACAAACTGGAGAAGATCCAAAAAAGAACCACAGGAATGATCAAAGTGATGAATAAAAGGTCCTAGTGGAAAGATTTAAATGAATTAGGGCTGTTTAGTTTGGAGAAAAGGCAACTAAAGAATTAAGGAGTAACTTAGAATAACAACCATTGAGTTGAAAGAAATCTCAGCGATCTTCTGGTCCAACTTTTCACTTCACAGATGAGGAAACTAAAACCAAGGGAGAGGTTACAACTTGGTGGAGGTAGTTTCAGAACAAATTTTCTTTTTTTAAGTATCACTTTATCCAATGAGGAGAAAAGTTACCCAAGTAGCATCAACATAACTAGCAGCAAAGATAGCAATTACAACTTCTAAATATCTCCCATATATCCAATACACATATGCTTTGAACGTCACTTAGATTATCTCACAACCACCTCAGAAAGCAGATGCTGTTTCTTTCCCATTTTAGAAATTAGGTCACTACAGCTCAAAGTAGTAAAGTTCATTAAAGAGTAGAACGTATATTTAAAGCTATGTCTATCCTCTATACCAACTTACCTTCAAAAACCTATGTAGAGTTCAACAGCACAGATTCAGGCACACTTAGCCTCTTAGCACCTGCATTTCTGATTTCTTTCTTTCTTTTTTTTGTTTTTTTTCCACGGTTAGGGATCAAATCCAGGGTCTTGAACATAGGATGTAAGCAGCACTCTATCACTAAGCTACACCCTAGCCCCTTGGTTCTCCAATAAAAGGAATAAAGGCTCCTTGGAGAAATTATCTAGGGCTAAAGCAAAGAAATACACAAATGAACCCAAAACAACTTGTGGTGCGAGGAAACAAGGTAGGGTTTTAAAAGATGAGGGTTGGGCTGGAGATGCCCCAAGTGGTAGAGCCAGCGCCTACCTTGCAAGCACAAGGCCCTGTTTCAAATCCCAGTACCACCAAAAAAGAAATCTTTTTTTTTTAACTAAAAATTAAAAATGATAGAGGCATATAAAAAGGAACTAAGAGCTGGCTGTCATGGCTCACACCTATAATCCTAGCTACTAAGGAGGCAAAGATCAGAAGGATCAAGGTTCAAAGCCAGCCCCAGACCAAAACTTTGTAAGACCCTATCTCAAAAAAAAAAAACCCAACACAAAAAAGGAATGGTGGAGTAGCTCAAGGTATAGGCCCTGAGTTCGAACCCCAGTACCTCAAAAAAAAAAGTAGGAATAATAATAATAAATGTAGGAATGATATAAACAGAAAATCAAGCAATCCAATTCTGGGCATATATCCAAAAGAATTCAAAGAGGCTCTCAAAGAGGTATTTGTGAATTATTTCCCCAGGCTGACTTCAAACTGCTATCCTCCTAATCTTAGTCTCCTAAATAGCTAGGATTGGACTGGTGGAGTGGCTCAAGCGGTAAGAGCACCTGCATAGCAACAGTGAAGCCCTGAGTTTCAAACTCCAGTACTCCAAAAACAAAACAAAAACAAAACTAAATAGCTAGGATTACAGGCTGAGCCACCAGTGCCCAGTTCAAAGAGATATTTGTGCACTCATGTTTACTGCAGCATTATTCGTAATAGCCAAGTGGTAGAAGCGACCCAAATGTCCATTTTAACTCAAAAGGATGTTAAAAAAAAAAAAAAAAAAAGCTATGTACATACAATGGAGTATTAGGGAGCTTTAAAAAGAAGGAATGTTGGCCAGGTAGTGGTACATGCCTATAATCCCAAGTACTCAGGAAGCAGAGGAAGATTGTTAAGTTCAAGACCAGCTTGGACAAAGGCAGCAAGACTCTACTCAAAAGCAAAATACAAGATATAAGGGTGATCTGGCTGCGACATCTGTCACCCCACTGATCACCAGGGTTGATGTGGCTGATCTGGCTGGCTACGCAGGTGTCTCCTTCCTCCCTCACTGTGCCATGTGCGTCCCTCCCAAAGATTCATGCTTGGCCAAAGAGGATGACCCATCCCTGATAGAAGAGGACCATTCCTTGGTCAAGGGTATACGTGTAGCTGCACTCCCCTGCTAAAACCTCCAAACAAACTCTCAAAAAACAAAATACAAAACAAAAGGTTGGGGGCATAGCTCAAGTGGCAGAGTGTTTGCCTAGCATGCATGAGGCCTCAGGTTCAAAACCCAGTACCACAAAAAAGGAAAAAAAGAAGAAGAAGGAATCCTGCCACATGCTACAACATGGATAAACCTTTAAGGACATTAGGTTAAGAAAAATAAGCCAGTCACAAAAGGACAAATACTATGACTCCACTTACATGAAGTACCTAGAGTAATCAAACTCCCTATTAAAATGAGATAAATATGCTAAAAAAGTTAAATTCTATAATGACAAAAAAAGGAAATAATATCAGTAACAAATAAAGGCTATCTAAACAACATAAATAATGTGTGCTCTAATAAGCGAAGTAGCACCAGAATATAAAAATCTGTGGATATTTGTTAAGGTACTTAAGGGAAAAATTAGTATACAGATACATACATAAATGCTGGAAAAAACCAGCAGAAATTAAAATACAGATTTTTTTCAGATTTGAAATCACAGATAAATCACATTTTTTTCTTTTATTACTAAAGTATTTGCAGGACTAACAAAAAAATCAAGAAAAATGAAAGCCCTCAGAGGGTCCAAGGTTAAATACATTATAATGAATCCTGAGTTCAATGGTAAACTAAGGCCTCAAATAACTGTTTCTTGAATTTGTTGTTCATAAACAGGAAAAGAAAATTTCTCACTCCCAAATAAAAGTACACACAGTAGATTCATAAAGAAAACTAAAAAAAAGTTAACTCTGAGATGAATATCTGGAAAAACTCCTAACAGTAAAAATCATCAGACTGTAACATGGTATCCTAGGCTAAGTTCCATTGATGGGGCATTTAGAAGCAATGCCCTAGACACCACACTGTAGGAACCAACCAGTCCTGACCTGGGACCACAGAGACCCAAGTGGTCCCACGAAGCTTTTCCATCACACAATGTGGTTGATTAATCTATAAATATCTGACATTTGCACATAAACACTAAGATTTTCATACCAAGTAAAGGAACAACAAACCTTACCTGGGAAACACCAGTCCTACCCCACTGCCCTTGCGTAGGATACACGGTACCAATCTGCTGCATACTGGAACCCACTGGGAGATGTTAGACTGGTTCCTCTAGATAAAGAAAAACATCATCTCTTAGAATCTCTATCAGACTTCATATGTAGAAGATAGGTACACCTGTGACATTGTGATATAACAAGAAATACGTATTTGGCTTTCATGTCTAGTTTCTGGCATCTAAAACCCTTGGAATTTCTGACAGAAGTGTTTTGTTATGCATAAAAAGCCCTTTCAAAGTTATCTGAGTTTAGGCTAATGAGGTGACTCTTAAGAGAATGACTGGTTGGTAGCCAGAGGACTGACCAAGTCAAGTAGAGGCTGGAACTTTCACCCGGTATTTAAGCTTCACAATCACCACAATGACCTATGTATATAGCTATTATCCCACTTAAGAAACTAAGATATGAAAACTCCAGGACCCATTCTCACTTATGGGATGGAAGTGTAAAGGGTTATCTCCAGGGTCCCTTCTAGCTCTACTAGGGATAAAGCCAATGGTAGAGTCTGGAACCAATGAAAACAGCATTTTACTGACTTATATAAGTTCCTCTTTCCCCAGCAAACTATCATAGAAGCAAGAACCATTTTTTTTAATTTTTGGGGGGGAAGGGGTGAGATGGGGTTTGAGTCCAGGGCTTTGCACATGCTAAGCAGGCGCTCTACTGCTTGAACCATACTGCCAGTCCATTTTGCTCTGGTTATTTACTTCCAGATGGGAGAAGCAGAGACTGTTCAACCATTCTTTTAAAAATTATTAAATAAGATCCCTCCTCCTACTGTTGGGGATGTCCAATCTGAGCTTCCAAAACATTGACTTCATACAGGGATGATTTTGAACAAATCAGTAAATACATAAAGGGTGAGTTCAGGTTTGATCAGAGAAAGTAGTTAACAAATATGGTAAGGGAGAAGGGTAGAATAAACCCTGTGATACTGGATTGGATTTAGAGTAATGGTGTGGGTGAAAAAACAGATACTCGTATGTTTATGTGCCTGAACACGCATACATACATTTCTACCCATGTCTGATAGGGCCTGAAGCATAACATAACACCCCAGTAGTAATAAGCATATAGATAGCATCCAGATTTGGTTTCTAAATACCAAAAATCCACAAGAAGGAACTACTTGTCTCCTTGGAGAATAGTTGACTCCAGAGTAAGGATGATGCTCATCAAAGCCTTGCTGACAAAAAAACTGGCATTATGTGATCTGTCTGATAGTTCTTAGAAGACTCCACTTGCAAAACCTACTGTGAAAAACTTTTTCCCCAAGAGCACTGGTTGCAAACAAAGAGAGGTAATTATTTAACTTTATGGCTTTCTTGAGGCTGTGGAAAACAATAGGCTAACCAAAAGTTTGAGAGGAAAACTTGAGAAATAAAATGTTCACAGGGGCTCTAACACAGTCCTGGGAATACAGAAGGCCATGCCACATAACAGTCTGTACACAAACCCACAGCTATGCACATGCTCAGGAAAGATGGAAGATAGCCTCTTATCTCTGGTTGACCTTGAGACTCTTCATAGCAGTACCTGAAGGTAAGGCAGTGTCAAATGCCTGGCAAAGTTGAAAGTACACCCCAACATACACACAAAGCTCCTCAGCAAAAACTAGGAAACACTGGTTCCAGCCATTTAAGGAAATTTCTGTTCAATCATTATCTGACCACTAAAGCTAAATAGAGACTTCACAGCCAAATACAACAAAAACACAGTTTACAGAATTAATTCAAAAAAGTCACTGATTTCCAGAGTTACCACATTGTATTATTTGAAATGTTAAGTTTTCAGGGATGGAGAATTGGCTCAACTGTAGAGTGCTTGCCTACCAAGTTCAAAACCCAGTATTGTCAAAAAACAACAAAACAAAACAAAACAAATCACAAATAAAATGTCAAGTTTTCAACAAAAAAAAATTACAAAACATATGAAGAAAGAAAGTGCTTTCTTCCTCAGACGCAGAAGAAAGAAAGCACTCAACAGAAACAATCTCTAAGAAAACCCCGATATTAGACTACCTAGAAAGCCCTGATACTAGACTACCTAGACAGACTTTTTGTTTAGTACTTTCGGGGGGGGGGTTTCACTTCAGATATTGCAGTAGGTCTCATATTTATGCCCAGGTGGCCTGGACCTTGATCTTTTATTTACACTTTCCACATAGCTGGATGACAGGCACATGCCACCCAGGTTTTGGTGGTTTTGTTTTGTTGGTGGACTGGGTTTGAACTCAGGGCTTTGTGCTTGCAAGGTAGAGCTTTATGGCTTGAGCCATGCTTCCAATCCACACCGATTTTATTGGTTGAGATGGAGTGCTTCCATCTCAGGGAGGTAGGGGCCAGCCTTTAACTGCCATCCTTCCAGTCTCCACCTCCCAAGAGCTAGGAATATAGACATGAGACCTTCAGCCACTTACACAAAGACTTTGAGTTAGTGATTTAAATATGTTCAAAAATCTAAAGACAACTATGTCTAAAGAACTACAGAAGGAGGAGCACGATGGCTCCTCATGTACAAGGGGTCCTCAATAACATTAAGATCTCTGATTTATTCTTAGAAACTGAGCACTAAAAAAGGAATGGAGCACATGCTGAAAACGCTGAATAAGAAAGAATACCAAATAATTCTATACCCAGCAAAAGTATTCAAAAGAGAAGGGAAAATGAAAACTTCCCAGATAAACAAAAACTGAGAGAAACCTGTCAACAGTAGACCTACCTTGTAAAAATACTAAAAAACCTTCAAGCTGAAATAAAAGGATGGTAGACAATAACTCAAATCCACAGGAAGAAATAAAGTTTTTGTCTTTTTAACTTGAAAGTATGAAAAATAATCATTTTCAAATCTATGCTGACACATAATATGTAAAGCTGCAAATGAATGGCAATAAAAGCACAAAAGAGAGAAGGAATGGTGCGGTATCGAAACATATTGTTTATATGTCATTGAAATCAAGTTGGTATTAATCCAAGCTAAACTGTGATAAATTAAAAACTAATTATATTCTAAGGCAAGGACCCAAAAATAGCTCCAAAAAAATACCTACACTATGCACAAAAATTAAAACGAATCAAAGAAAAACTTAGGTGGGGAAGTTTATGACATTGCATATAGCAATGATTTTGGGTATCACCACCAAAAGAGCAGGCAAAGAAAAATAGTAAGTTGGACTTTTTCAATATTAGAAGCTTTGGGTTAGGATGTGGCTTAAGAGTAGAACACTTGCCTACCATGCATGAGGCCCTGGATTCTATCCCCATACAGCAATTTAAAAAAAAAAAAAGTTTTTGTATATAAAAGATACAATGAACAAAGTGAAAAGGCAACCCAGCATAGGGTGAAAAATATTTGCCAAATCATATTATCTAATTAGGGGTTAATATCCAAACACACACACACACTTTTTAAATAGGCAAAGGGTTGGGCATGGCTCAAAGTGGTAGAGCACCTGCTTCCCAAGTGCAAGATCCTGAGTTCAAACTCCAGTATTTCAAAAAATAAAATTAAATAAATAAAAAGTAGACAAGGGTCTTATCAAAGATCTTAACGAAAGATGTGAAACTATTACAGGAAAAAAAAGGACTGAGCATCAGTGGCTCAAGCCTGCAACCCTAGCTACTCAAGAGGCAGAGATCAAGAGATCAAGGTTCAAGACCAGCCAGGGCAAATAGTTCACAAGACCCCCATCTCCAAAATAACCAGAGCAAAATGAACTGGAAGTGTGGGTTTGCTTTGCAATCACAAAAGCCCGAGTTCAAACCCCAATCCAACAAAAAAAAGGGAAAAGACTGGAACATATAGTGTAGGTAATAACTTCCTGAACAGAACTTCTAACATATTGGCAAGTGGACTGCATCAACCTAAAAAGCTTTTGTACAGCAAAATAAACAGTCACTACACTGAAGTGACAGCCTACAGAATGAGAAAAAATCTTTGCCAGCTATGTATCTGACAAGGATTAAGAATCAGAATATACAGAGAGATCAAAAAACTAATCTTCATAAAAAATGAATAAATGGCAAACTAACTGAACAGACAGTTCTCAAAAGAAGTACAAAGACCAATAAACCACATGAAGAAATGTTCAACATCCTTGGCCATAAAAGAAGTGCAAATCAAAAAAAGAAAAAGAAATGCAAATCATAACAACTCTGAGATTTCACCTCATTCCAGTCAGACTGGCTATATTCAATAATACAAATAACAACAAATGCTGCTTATCCACTGTTGATAAGAATGTAAATTAGTGCAACCACTATGGAAAGCAATATGGAGTAAAAATAAGCCAAGCAACACTGGCTCACGCCTATAATCCTAATTACTCAGGAAGCAGAAATCAGGAGGATCAAGGTTCAAAGCCAGCCCCAGGTAAAACGTTCCAAGAGAACCTACCTCAAAAAATCCATCACCAAAAAGGGCTGATGGAGTGGCTCCAGTGGTAAGAGCACCTGCCTAGCAAGCATAGAGCCCCAGTTCAAACCCCAGTGCTGCCAAAAATAAATAATAAAAACAGACACACCATGATCTTGTGATATCACCCCTGGGCATATACCCAAAAGAAAGTAAGCCAGAATACAATAGAGCCACTTGCACAACCCATATTTACACTATTTACAACAGCCAACATTGGAATCAGTCCAGATACCTAACAACTGATGAATGAATTTTTAAAATTTGTATGTATACACAAGGAGCTTATTGCAGCCATAAAGAATGGATTTATGTTGCTTGGCAGACAATGAATGGAACGGGAGATTATCATGTTAAACAGGCTCAGAAGGGACAAAAGGTCACGTTTTCCTTCTTATGTGGAAAAGCTTAGACTAAGTGATAAATTTATATACAAATATATTAAATGACTTATATACATGATGTACAAAGAGACAGGAAAGAGGGGGGGGGGGGGGGGGGGGGGGGGGGGGGGGGGGGGGGGGGGGGGGGGGGGGGGGGGGGGGGGGGGGGGGGGGGGGGGGGGGGGGGGGGGGGGGGGGGGGGGGGGGGGGGGGGGGGGGGGGGGGGGGGGGGGGGGGGGGGGGGGGGGGGGGGGGG